AACACAACAATTCAAAACTGAGACCAAAGAGAACAAAAACAACTGATATTTAAATAATAGAAAATGGAATGATTACCCCTGCCAGCAGCTGTCTTATAGGGATTTCGCACATGCTGCCCTTTATTGCATATTTACAGAACTATATTAACTGTCCACGGAGGGAGATATCATTTTTGATGGACAAAGTTTACTAGTCATTTATTTTATAAAGATAATTTTTTTTTAAAAATATATTAAATAAAAAGTTACTATAAACATTTAACTAGGTAAAACTACAAAAATCATTAAAATAACATTTAAATTGTTTAACAGGCATTAAAAATTATTCTGTGCCACAGACGTAGGGACGTCCACGGAGGGGATTTTGAAGTCATGTTTATTAAAAAATGAGAATGAAATATTAAATACATTTAGCAGAAATGCATATGATTTGTTAGTTAAGAACTTCACGAAAAATGATAATGAAAAATATTAAGAAATCTGTTGTATTTCCTAATATTTATTACTCAGGGACTTAAAAAATCACCTTTTCGTGAGAATCACCCAGTTGCAAAAATTTAATTCTATCTTATTCAAGCACATTAAATTTTCCTCAAAGATAAAATTTTACAAAACATGGAAAAAGTCATCTGTTTATTGAATTTAATAAGTTTTCGTTATGTAATATATCGAATAATTAACTATATAATGCTATAATTCAACTCAAAACTTTAACTTAATATTTTTAAAACTATTTATTCATTTTACTATCGATATAAATCTTAATTGAAGTATTTTATTTTCAATTCAAAAAGGAGATGAAGTAGTTATAAAAGATGAACAATAGTTTAGAAACGACTGAAAAGGCCATATTATATGGTCACGTAAACTGGTAAACCATATCTGATATTTTATGAACTTTGCGTACGTGGTAACGATGCAATAAACATTATCGTTTAACAAGAACAAAATATTTTAAAAAGGCTTTTTTGATTCGCGAAAATATTTCACGTTACTTTTTAAATCGAAATATCACGGAAGAAAAGCTAGACTGACATGAATAAATTATCAATATACTAGGGGAGTCCAACCGCTTCTATTAGCATCGTTTACCAACCCTCATAATTACTTCTCAATTACTTTTACTTCTTGATTAGAAACGGGTTGTTAAATCAAATATTATTCAATTTAAATATCTCAATATTTTTATTTCTTAAAAACAGATTTAATTTTCTGGTTCTACTTAGATAATGTTTAATTATTTCGCTGGGTCACCATCTTAATTTCAACCTCAAATTCTTACTTACGATCATTTTAGATTATTATAAAAACTTAAAGTCTTTCGTCAAAGAGATTGAGAAAAATTGCGAAAAGTTTAATTTTAATATAGTTTTACAAATTTAAATCTTTATTTAGAATGCACAATTTTAATTGCATATGTTGATTCGATGCGGTTTTACAAAAAATTTATTATGGGTGCAAATACAGTTTATTTAAAATGTAGATGCTATTTATTTACCGTTTTAATGTTTAGTGTTTTAATCAAATGTGTTTCGCTCAAAATGTTTTACAATAAATCAATATAGGATTATTTCGTAACATGATAAGGGAACACTGTTTTTAGTAGTACACTTTTAATTTTAAATAAAAACTAAATTCGAAAAGTAATATTAAGATGACAACTTAACAGTTGAATACCGTTAAATATGGGATACATGAATAAATTACAGGTTTATACAGTTAACAGTTTTTAGTAATTTTATGCTAATGAAATATACAAAGATGAATGAATCGTTATCCTTCGTTTCATATTTATTTCATGTGATTTCACATTCTTATGTGAATTACCGAGATCAACCAGGAAACAGTTTATTTTTTAATGTTATACCGAAAAATACAAAGCATAATTCATAATTTTCTTCTTCTCTTTGAACGTAAACATTGGTTACATCTTATTATATCTAATATTCTTTGATCCAATAATCAGTTGTATCACGATATGATGCCAAACTAAAAATAGTAACTAATTAGTACAGAAGATAATTTAACTTTAACGTAATTTAACTACTTTAAGCAACGTTAACAACTTTAAATCAGTCGTAAATCTCTCGCCTTTTAATAATTTCGAGTGTCTTGAAAATTTTCTTAAAATGTTTTGCTGCTATTTTGCTTATCAGTAGAATTAATTGCGCAAACTAAAACATTTTTGTAAACAGTCATAAGAACCCGTTTGTACAAAAGATAGTTTGAAATACCTATTCATTATTTTTTTTTTACATGTAATTAAGTATTAATCAAAAACAATATTTAAAGTATGAGGACTATAACTTTAATTTTATATTAAGTTACGAATTTTTAAATTGTAAAATCAAAGTTTGACAGAATTAAGTTGAATATTTCTTAAAAAAAAGTTTCAAGGACATTATCGATTTAAAACAGATATGGAATTTTTTAGTTATTCATAACTTCTTATTTAACTGTCCAGCTTAAAGTGCAAGATATTAATAATACGTGGCTTAATAGTAGGTAAAATATTTATACCTTTGAATCAAAGAAAATAGGTATTAAATTAAATAATAAGATTAATAAGTAATTTTTAAAAACATTTTTCATAAAAGTACCACTAGACAGAGCATTATAATTACGAAAAATTTTTTTCAATTAAACTCATAAAGGTTGGTATTTACGAAATAATTACTGTGAAAGAAATCAGAATGTAAAAAATATAATGTTTATAATGTTTTCGATAAGTTAAAAGTTGAAATCAATGTAACATCGACTGTAAAAGGTGATAAATTTACTGGAAGTTGATTATTGTTTTCTCTGCAAGAAGAGTATTGCGCAGGAAAAACAGTTTTTACAGATTTCTTAGTAAACTATCGTTTACGCTTGAATCACGTAACATGTTTTATTATTATTATTATTATTACTATCAATATTTTAAATCTTTTCCTTAAATTTTCCTTATTTATTGAGTAATTTTGTTGATATTATTTTAGATCTATGCAGAACAATTTTAAATCACTGACAACTAAAATAACAATTTAATTTTATTAAACAAATTTATTTTACCAATATTTCAGACGTATATTTTTTTTTCTAAATAAATTGCATAATATTTCTTGCTGTATATCTTTGCCACATTTAAAACAAATTGTTTTATTCCCGAAATAAAATTGACCAATATTTCAATCAGAAATATCATTTATTTATTAAATACGTAACATTATTTATAGCATAAAGGTTTTTTTTAAACAAATTAATTTAATTATGTTATTTTGGAAGAATATTATTTTTTGCTGCGAATGTTCGTCAGATTTGAATAACTAATGATTAATTTAAGTATTGTTTTTATTTTCTGGGGAAAATTAACTTGCTTATAAGCAAAGCTTAATCTTCCACTGTCATTTTTTAGCGTAAACGATATGAACTAAATGATGAAAGAATTCATTTCAATCAAATGGTCTGTAGACTATTTATAATTATGCGCAAGTTTTAAGTTAAAGGCGAATGTTAAATTGCATTCTATTGAAACATATATTCTCTGATAGCTATTATTTCCATAAATTAAGCTCAAAGTTTTTTTAAATATAACTTCACTTAATGCCTTAAAAGAAGTCCATTATTATTTAATAGAATCTAAAATCAGTTCGGTTTTAATGCAATTAAAGTTAGTATGATAGTTTATTCAAATTTATACTAAGATAACTCTACACAACATTTATTCCAAATTTTTAATAAAATTTTACTTGCCCAAAATTCTATCAAAACAATTTAGAAAAAACTCATTTAAACTAGTTAGTACACGGATTGTATACTAAACAATATCAAGTCAATTAAAATAGAATTTAAAAAAAATGGGAGTAATTGAACAATAATTATTTTTGCATTAAAAAGAACTTTGCTAATTTACTTTTAATGCCACATTCTTGCCCAAGAAATTTAATTCGAGTTTATGGTTCTTATGAGCTACATATTAAATTATAATTGTTATGAGATCGTAAATTGAAGCAACTAAATTTGTTGGAACAGAATAAAAAAAGAAACCAAAATTTTTTTCATATAAAAATTAGAGTATCCATTTTTTACATTTTGTAATAAAAAATTAAAGTAAATATTAAAATACTTAAAAAAAACATGTATAGACAAAGCGTGTGTTTTGTGGGTCTAAGTATTCGCTACGTAGACAGTAGTTACTTAATATAATTTTAATTTTCAGACTGAATATAAAATTAATGTAGTTTAATTAAAATTTTATTTGCTAAATATTTTTCAAATTACATGTTCTAGTTCTAATACTAAAAATTAGCATTCGTTAAAATATTTCGTGTAGTTAAAAATTGTCAGGGAAGTTTGGAGTTCAGGTCATTAATGTGAAATAGTAACTAAATAGTTTATAAACTGATAAAAGAACTGGCGTAAATGAGACATTATGAATAGGTAAAAAAGTGATTTGATACGAAATATTTAATAAAAATATTTATTAAAATTTTTTATGAAAATATTTAATTTTTTGATGCAAACTATATTTATTTGAGTAAAATGGAGGAATATGCACAATTATTTAGTTGTTGCATAATAGATTTGAATTAAAACAACTTTGCGTATCCAAACCCAAAACAAAAACAAAGTTAAGGAGAAACAATGTAATTGGTTTTGGATATTCGTGAAGTAATATGAGTACATATTTATAAAGCGTGAAGAATATACGGCCGTATTTCTATTAAATATGATTTCTAAAAAAAATTCCTGCATTCACACCGATAGAATGTTTTGAAAACACACTTCACTAAGCCTAAAATTCGAATGAGGGAAATATCGCCAGGAGTTCCGCAGTGAAGCACCCAAAACCTCACTCGCCTTTCATAAAAGTCCTGATTCGTTAACTGTAACGATCGATTTTTTTCCCTCCTCCCCAATTTGTATGTTCGAGAATGATGAAGCATGATAATGAATGTTTTCATGATGCATGAAAGTGATTGAGAAAGCAAACGATAATTATGGAATTTCGTTAGGCTTACCAGTTTGTCCCTTGCCCAGGGTCTTCTCTAGCCTGTAAGGACCGACGTATTGATAGTGATGTGAATCCGAGGACGACCTGTGAGAAGTCATGTCGATGTTTAAAGATTAATAATCCAAGGAAATCCACGGTCGCTAAGTTCCGAAGAAATCCACTTTTCGAGTATCCATGTTTAATCCGCTGAATACAGGGATTTTATGCACCACCGCTATGTCATATTCGAAAGTCCTGGCACTTCGCCGCGCTTAGACAGAAAATGTGGAGAGTAGGGTTACAGGAGATTTGACCCTAAAGATACCTTCCCTTCTTGGCGAGTGATTCTCCTGGAAAAGTAGTATTAAGGACATCGCCAAATCTAATTTATATTTTTCTCATCATATGTAGAGAGCTAATTACACTACGATAAAAATTACTTCAGTAATAGAGTATGAATTATCAATTTCTTTCTTTTGAGAATTTTTGAAATTTTTTTTCGAAGTTACCTAATATGTTCTTAATAATTATTTTGAATTCTTAATAATTCCGTAGAGTGTAATGAATTTCGCTATTAAATTCTTGCTTTTCTTTGTAGAATTTATTATCATTATAAACTCACGCAGTTAATTCAGTTTTTCTGTTAATTGTATTTTTTTTCTCATTTGTCCTTAAATTGTTAATTGTATTATTTTCTCATTTAATAAACAAACATTTTTCTTTTCCTTTTAGAGATAGTTCAGTAGAGGTTTAAATAAGAAAAAAGTCTTGTTTTCGTAGGTTCTTTTATTGTTTTCTTATGAAAAAGGAATGAGAAAATCGCAAAAAATGCTTCTATAATAATAAAAGAAAAAAATTGTCTGCTAATTTTATTGAAAATAATTAATTGTTGAAAAAAATTGTCTGCAGAACCACTTGAGCTGCAGATCTGAAATTCGGGTAGTGGATGTCGTTTGAGAGAAATTTTCGAAAAAGAAATTTTATAAATGGTTTAGAATTAGCCATTTATGAAAATTATACTCTAGAAAATCACGTTTTTTTTCCAATTTTTTTTTTATTATTATTTTTTTTTTACATTATTGATGTCTACTAGCATATAACTCTTATTAATAAAAAACATGTCACCAAACTATTTTTAAAATTATCCTAAACGACTTGTTTATTTTATCATTCTGCTTTTAAACCGTGCTTCAATAAAAAAGAGTAAAAAAATTTTCATACTATTATTGACACTGAAGATGCCTGATTAATTTTGGTAAGTGTTACTACTAACTGAAATAAAATAAGCTATGTACTAAAAAGCAAAATTATTGAAGAAATGATACTAATTTATTTAGGAGACTTTTGACAGATATTTTTGAACCACCTTGTTTCCATACATAGATATGTACATATAACACGAGAAAATAGTTCGATATAATTCTGTTTTAGACTTGAAAAGGTTTCTTGTTTACTTATATAACGAACAGAGTAAAGCAGCTTTTCTGATAACTACGTTTTTTATTGCGTTTTTCGCACTCTTTTTTTAATGAGGAAATATTTTTATTTTTTATTGAGAAATTATTAGCTAGTTTAGCTAATTTAAATTTAAAAAAATTTTTTTTGACGGGGTGTTTTCTTTTCTTGTTTATTTATTTACTTATTTTAAAAAAAGAAAAATTAAAAACGTGAAATAATCTTATAGAAATAGTGTTCTTATAGAGAAATTTTGACAAAAATTGTGTCGAGAAAATTTTTTATTTATGTAAAATATGAGAAAATGTTTCTATGGATTTTTTATTTGACATTTGACTGGTCATTTATAAAAAAAGTGAGAAAATGGCTCGATGAATTTTGTTTATTATTAGAAAGACATAAGAAAATGAAACATGCATCTTGTTTAAAGTAAGTAAATGTGGGAAAGCGATTTGATAAAATTTTTTCGCTTATTAAAATGAAAAAAAAAGGCTCTGTTGAATTTGTTTATTTAGGAAAAAATTTAATAGAATAATAGGTAGAAAAAAAACGAAAACTAGAATATAAAACAGGGAATATACATAAGAATAATTTAAAACAAATAAATGAATTTTTTTAAACCATCATTACCTGTTTAAAAAATAATATTTTAAGACTGATAACGCTTATCAATTTAGGCAAAATTAAATAATAATTTAGAACTTTTTATAGAAAATATTTGATTTGTGCTGTTTACATAATAATTCACAATTATATTTCAATTTGACCGATCTTAAATTTCATATAATTTCTTAAATATATAAACAATTTTCTGTTTTCTTTAAGTTATTACATTAAGTTCAATAATTATTTAGAAATACATTTTAGTTTTCATGATATTTTATAATTACCAACGCGGTCGAGATGACTTAGATTAACGAAGATCAGATACTGATGACCTCTTTTTACTTACATTTTTCAATTCATTTTAATAGTTTATGTTAATACAGCTGTTGCGAATTTATGTAAGAACGACGATGCTCTCCATCCCCTGTTGATTGTTGTGCAATCTTATATGGTTTGCTATGCGAACTATGCTCGCTACTAAGATAAACCCATTTGAAATTTTTTGTATGGTAAAACCTTAAGAATTTAAATCAATTATTAAAATGTTTTAAAAAATTCCTCTTAAAATTGAAATTTTTTACTCAATAATAAGTTATCGATTTAATTATTTTTTTAGTTGAAATAAATGAAATGCAATAGAATAACTTCCATTGCATGACAACATTTAGTATACTACCCAGAAGAATTTTTTTCTTTTGCCCTGAAGTGAGCAGCAAATGAATTACATTTTTCAGTAATGGAAAAATTAAACTCTTCTAAATCTGAACCGATTCTCAAGATAAACAAATCTAAACCGATTTCTTGTTCTTCAATAGAGCAATTTCATGCTCTTCTGATTTTAGTTAAATCATGTATGATGACAAGTTTTCTACGCGTTCTTTCAATTTACGTCTGTCATCAACACTTTCTTCTGCGTTATGAACAAACATTTTTTTATTAGACTGCATAATAGCACGGCTATTGCTCAATTTTCAGTACATAACTGTAAGAAACAACTTTTAAAAGAAAAACAAAACAAACGCAGATCATTTACTGTTTACTTTTATTAAAATTTACGCACACCGTTATTCTAAAAACTCAAAATCTATATCGTACACAAGAACTGCTGTTGCCAAAACATGGAATACTAAATACTGCTGTTGCCAAAACATGGAATACTAAATATGTAATAAGAATATAATTAATGTTCACGCTCACACTTTTACATAACAACAACAATGAGTAAAATTATCCCTATCGAACCTGCATAAAAATAATTAGAACATAATATAAAACACTTTGATATGAAGTATTCGCTTTTCACCTTTCAATTCTTTCCAACTTATGGCTCAATTTATTTTATCGTTTCGTTGTCACGCGAGAAAAGAATTCCTAGATAGCAATGTAATGTTTATTTCCACTCGGTAAAAATCTTTTTATGTAAAAAAAAGGTTTTATATGTAAACCTTCTAAACTTAAAGCTATTAAGGTTAGAAGGTTTACAAGATCTGTGACAATCTGCTCCATTCTACGTTCATCACCTAATCTAAAAATTTGAGAAACAACCTTCGATATAATAACCTCAAAACAAGGCTGTCTTATTGCTTTCAAGCTTGAAGCAATCCTTGAATAAAGCTTCTTTAAAGATTAAATGAAATATTTAAAGCAAACGCAGAGCAAAGGATCCCTAAAAAAGTTGTGAAAAATTTTAAAATTTATAAAAAAATTATTAAAGATTCAATTTAAGAATTTTAATCAATGCTTTAGATAAAATTATCTGAATCAAAAGTTTTTAAAAAAGGACGAATACTCATTTTTTGTCTCCACGTTTTCTTTTTTCGCATGTGTTTTTGTAGGACCTCAGAAAAAACAAGGTTTTATGATAGCTTGCTTGTTTTCCCTAGAATACAGTTTCCTACATACATTATTTTATTATTTCTTATAATTTTTGAGGAAAAAGTTGATATTTGCCATATTTTGTTTCCTTGGAAAAAGATTAACAACACAAAATTAAAAAAAAAAACGCTTACATTTGCTTATGTCTTTATCAAAGAAACATTATTTTTTAATAAAGCTTTACGAATCAGTTATTAAGATGAATAATTTGAAATTGCAATTTTTTTCTTTATTGAAAAAAGCTTTTTACCGCAAACCTTTTTGTGACAATAAAAAGAAAATACAGACGCAAGATTGTCGTAAGGTTACGTGCTATCTGGGTATTGAGTCAAAAATTTGCCATCAAGTGCTTTTATACTTTCAGACTTATGACAGCTCACACGCTTGATAGTTCAATTCTTTGCTGCCACCACAAAAAGGAACAGAGGATTTTCTTCGCCATCGTGTAAGATAAATATTTAAATAAACTTAGTTATTTATTTAGAATCAGATTCTGCGTCCCGTTGTTCAAAAGAACAGAAAAGGAGTACAGCTATCTGAATGAATAGTGCTATTGAATTTCAACCCTCTGAAACCCGCGTTTCAAAAAATTGCAGAAAATGTCATAATTCTTTGAAATATGTAGCTAAGAAAAAAGCCTAAGTTAAAAAATGCAATAAAATATTTTTGAAAAGAAATTCAATTAATGAAACTTAATTAATTTCTTTAAACAATTTTGAATATTACATAAGGATAGATTTTAACCTTCATTTTTTGCATATTAAAGAATTTTTTTTATGTGTATGTCTTCACATTTCTGTCATAAATCAAAATCCCCTAGACTCGAATACAAAGGTATTTCCTACTATTTATAAAAATCTAATGATGGTGTCGCAGTTTTTCATTGTTCAGGGATGAGATTAACCAAAAGGCGAAAAAGCTGAATTTCCACGATAGTAAATTTTACGCAAGCGTAATCCTTTAACAATAAATTCCAGACAGTTTAAGGTAATAAATAATGTGTTGACATACAATTGTATACTAATCTATTATTATATAAATGATTACATTGATACTTAACATTTAGTGAAAATAAAAATTACCAATTGAAAAAATANTTCTTCGTCATCGTGTAAGAGAAATATTTAAATAAGCTTAGTTAATTATTTAGAATCAAATTCTGCGTCCCGTTGTCCAAAAGAGCAGAAGAGGAGTACAGCTATCTGAATGAATAGTGCTATTGAAGTTTAACCCTCTGAAACCCGCATTTCAAAAAAAATCAGAAAATGTCACAATTCTTTGAAATATGTAGCTTAGAAAAAGCCTAAGTTAAAAAATGCAATAAAATATTTTTGAAAAAAAAAATTACTTAAACTTAATTAATTTTTTTAAACAATTTTGAAT